TGTGCAATAGAAAAAATTATGAGCAAGCGCAACTTAACTGGTAAGTTGAAGAGTAAGGTGTTTAATGAACTTACATGATGGTAAAGGTGATTTCGCAGTCTTCAGAATTTTGTTTCCTGGTTCTTGATGGACAACCCACTTTGTCAGGTGTCCTTATATACCTATGTGTCTTGCGACTATTGGTCAAACAGGTTAGTTTGATCCATCATTACTACAATTAGCCTGAATATTTTGGGTAACTGTGTACGCTAGATTTATGCCTATTTTTTCACATCTTCACAGACACCACAATGATTTCCCTCGTGTGGTAATATTTTTCCTTGTAATTGTATGTATGGTTTGCAAAAATGGGAACTGCTTCCTTGTAGATGAGAGAAGCAAAGTGTATGCACTTTGTGCACACGCTACATTATGGCCAAGCATGCGCCCTTTAAATAGCATCTGAATAAGTGCCACTGTTCAACAGTTCATTCCCTAATTTAAGGACGTGCGTCTGTGTACAAAGTCAATTGCGCTTGAGTAGAAGATAGAGCGCATAGAGCCAAAAGTGCACAGCCAGTGAGTGCAGCTCAACTCACAGTCCGTTACCTCCACTGGCTCCGACAATCTGTCATGGTGACGACCAAAATGCCAAATTCAACACTTCAAAATGCTACTCCACAAACTAATGGATGACGTTGCGATAGGTTCACACTTGGTTCTGGCTGAGACTTGCTCAACTGTTATTGGAGCACAGAGCAAAAAGAGGCAGGACTTAGGAAGTGTCGGGATGAAGTGCAGGAAAAATGACATGTACTGCTGCACTTTTCTGCTGAAGCTGCTTGTTAATTTGTGGAGCATCACACCGATGCCTGTGTAGCTGCACTCTACAGTTGGATCTTTTTTTAGTTGACTTAATTTTTGCTAGTCTAATTATCATGTGGTCTATGTGAACTAGGTCTCTTTTACGTCAGCTCTCGTGTCGGGTTTGTGTAGGTTCCCACAAGTCTATTTCACATTGGGTCCAACATTTTGGAGAGTAACCTCTCAATCCTAGAAGTGTTCAGTACAGCTGAGTATTGTTTGAACCTTTTCTGTACTATAGCCAGTGTAATTTAAAGGGGAACGTCAGGGAATGAGAGGAGGATCGAGACGGGACAGGCTTATGGAGAGGGTCCCTTAGCAACAAAATGGACGAGCTAACGGCGCTGACACGGAGCCACCCGGAGTACCGTGAGTGCAGTCTGATGTGTTTCACTGAGACATGGCTGCACAGGGACATTACGGACCAGATCGTATCCGTGGATGGCTTCCACACCGTCCGGGCTGAAGTCCCGTGGGATTTCACTTGTTGCAGGGAAACGCAGAAGAAGAAATTGTTGCAGGAAGTGTGCAAATCGGAGAGTAGTGTGTGAAGACATAGACATTTTTGAGGGGGAAATAAACTTTTTTTCGTCGTGAAGGCATTATCTCCGTGATCGATTATTCTGGGCTTTCGGTGAAGCGAGCGGTGGAAAAACAGGTAGGCGACAGTACTGTTTGTACGGTTTCTGCACAACGTATGAGTTGAAAAGGCATGTTGTTGTCACGTAAGGGCCCTGATCATGTTGCACAGACATTTTAATTCCATTTTGTGTCTGTTAAGAGGAGCAAAAGGCACTCTTTAGGATATGCCCCCAAGAAGTGTATTATAACTAACTGGGAGCTCTGGCCATTAGCTGCAGGCTCTCCAGTTTGCTAGAACCAATTCTGGTCGTTCTTTTTCCTATCGACAATACTCGGTGACCTCTAGTGATCAAGACTAGGGTAAAAATCTGCCGAAGTTCCCCTTTAAGTCCTGGCTGATTTGGCAACACCTGTGGTTACCATGGTAACATCAAGTATGGTTTAATAATGGAGCAAACACTCCTCAAGCAACAATTTTGTCAGAAATACAGAAGACAGACGAGCAGATGGTGTATCTGTTTACAGTGCAGCCAAATACACTCATGTTGTTTTAATAAAGATGTCAGTCAATAATAATTATAGGTGCAACCTGATTTCATGCTGCATTTGGTGTGAGTTGTTTTCCACACAACAGCAGAACACAGTAAAGTTGGTTACCTCACTGAGGAGTTGGAGGTCTGCAGCTCTTCTTCCAGCCGGCTGCTAACATATTTCCAACTGATCCACTCACAAAAATATGACCATAGTTTTGTTTTGTAGATGCAGTTTTGATAACTGATCTTGGTCACCTCTAACCTTGGTGACAAACACATTGCGTTTCTCGTCATAATAAAGGCCAGCTGAATGTGAAGCAGCAGCAGGATGTTCGTTTGCATGAGCAGTAACTTAAAACAGTTCTGACATGCTGTAAAGAGAGTGAACAGTAAACAGTGTGGCTAATATAAGAGAGATAAATTACGCTGGATTACATGCTGTGGTGAATCCCTCATGCTTAGGTAGACAATATAAATCCGGCACAGGACTAGCAGACCAACAAAAACAACTTTATAAAAAGAAAATTGCTGAATGTAAATACATGAAAATACAGACCAGAGGCGCCTGGATAGCTCAGTGGGTAGAGCTGGCGACCCATGTACCGAGGCTGAGTCCTTGCTGCAGCAGCCCAGGGTTCAAATCTGACCTGCAGCCCTTTGCTGCGTGTCATCCCCTCTCTCTCTGCCCCGCCTTCCTGCCTATCCTCAGCTGTCACTACAATAAAGGCAATAAAAGCCCCCAAAAAATATACTTAAAAAAAAAAAAAATGCAGACCAGTAGTCTCAAAATTGGATTTGATTTTATGGTGCCCATGCCAAAACAATACTTACTTTGAGAAATATAAACACTTTAATTTTAAACTACAAAGCCTATTACCTTATTTTAAAAAAGTTTTCAAATGTTGTTTAAACACAGAATTCAAATTTAGATTTTAATCAGGAACTATCTGATCAAACAAGACTACAAAGCTGAACAAGTATTCCGCGCTGACTTTAGGTACAATTTTTTATATAAGCACTATGAACACATTTTGGCTGGTCTCAAAAAGCATTGAGGATTGATAGCCAGGCCGTGTGTTCAGTATGTGAACAAACAAATCTTTCCAAAGTGAACTAAATTGTTATCAGTATCACAGAATGTGTAGCTTTTGGCATACATAAAGTCATAAGCCATCGCTGTGCCATAACTCCGTTGCAGATATGGTTACTGCACTACCGCATACACTGAATGAAACGGTTCAAATCAGCAACAGCCTGAATTTATCGAACTGAAGATGTAATGTTACACCAGTCCATTCTCTCAAGTCAAACAAACAAAGGACTTTAACTCAAGAGAACACTGTCTGTGTCCCGTGTGAAACCAAAAGACAACATTGACTTATTACTTACATTACTTATTATTACTTATTACTTATTAGCTTGCAACAAACCCTCTCCTCTCCCATCACGCCTTTCCTCCTCTCCCTAAATGTGTCTAGTCCTCAGATGGTGTCAGAGCTTGTGCTAAGTCCCAGTGTCAGCCCGGCTCTGTTGTCCAACTCTGGCTAAGCTTCCGGCCCCACTCCCCAGCAGTCCAAAGCTGGTGGTGTAAACAAACCTCCCCCAGTACTTAAAGCTCTCAGTCCGTGTACAGTCAGCTGATAGGACCGCTGTACTAGTGACAGCAGCTCATTAGCTGTTAACACATGCAGCAGTGCTGTGTTACAGGGGCGGAGCTAGAGGGGTGGACGGGGTAGCGCTGGCCACCTCTGGAACCTGATTGGACACCTCGGGTGCCACCCCAGTTGATTGACAGGTCACTGCACGTCACGTCGAAAACAGCGCGATTTAAAAAAAAATGTATTTGATCCTTGAGCTGAGTCTTGCGTCTAGTGTCTGTGATGTGCAGCCTTCTCTTTGTTTTGCCAAGACACCGACTTTTCCCACAGTTATGTACCAGGTTAAAGTATCCCAGTATTTTCCTTTATTAGGCCTAGTATATGGCCCCCCTGATAAAGCCTTGACCACCCTCTGGCAACCCCTTGTATAAAAGTCTAGTTCCGCCACTGCTGTGTTACAAGAGAAAATGTCCGTGCTGCCACAAATGTCTTGGTGCACAGCTCTTGTTTGAAGTTATTTTTGTTTTTCTGCAGACTAATATCCGACTAACGAAAAGTGTGTCGACTAAGACTCTTCTTGTTGACTAACAGTTTACTTGACTATTAGGTGGCAGCAATTTTTGAGGGCGGTCATTTTTGTGACTAAACCTAACCAAACCGCGGCCGTTTAAACTCATCCAATGTAAAGTGAGTTTCAAAGTCTAACTAGACATTGCATATTTATTATTGCTGACTTAACTGCAGAGCTCTGCACGTGCAAAACGGACATGAGAGAGCTACCTACAGTGTCTTATATTGAAACGTATGCAGCCACTGATCAAGCTGCCGTATTTGACGAGTTGGGATTGAGAACGTGTTGGTCACACCATTATGAATCCATTAAAACACTGTGATGTGATCTAGTTATATAAAGAAGAAGAAGCTACATAATCATTGACTAAAGTTCATTTTTTTTATTTCCACCTCTAGCCAGCACCTACCTGCTATTCTCTGTACACTGCTCACACAAATGCACAAACATACGTGCATACTATTGCACACACTGCAGCTACTACAGTACCGGTAGGATAAATAATCTTTGTTGCACTGGTCTGCAATCAAAGGAGGAGAAGGGAGGTGGCAGTACATCTAGCCACACAAAGTAAGGGGTTAACACTGCTGCTGTTTAAACAAGGACCTGTCAGAACATATATGCATACACCATAACATATACAGTCTACACAATGCAGACAAACACAGGACACATTTCTTGCTCTATAACAAAAAGTGTCCAAAGCACAAAGACAACCTTACAGATTAACACCAGCATGACAGAAATGTGCATATACAGTCCAAACCACATCCATCCAGCTCTTGTATACACTCCCTTTTCTTTTTCTTTAGTGCTTTGGTATAGTCTTGGTATTAAATATGTTTAAATGTGTTTCTTTGTGTTTTTCCACAGGCTGACACTTAACTGAAGACACATCCAAAGGTCTCACCCACTTTGCCAACATCCTAACGTAAGTTTCCCAGTTTAATGTCATTTATTTCTATATTTACATATTTTCTTTTTTCTCTGTTTCCTTCAACTTCCACAACTTTTCTGGATTTAAATAATAGAATAATGGAAGGAGTGAAAATGATATATTCTCCTCACTGTAGCCTTGCTCTACAGGTGTATGCTGCCGTTCACACATCAGAATAATTAGTTGTTCAATAATTGTGATACAACTGCTTTAAATTAATAACACTTTGTAACCTCTATTTCATGGTAAATAATGTCTGAGCAACAGGAAGCCGTTGTTGTTATACTCAGAGTGTAGCTTTATATATTGAAACATGTTGGAAGTCTTATCATAGCTGCACATTTAAGGTAGGTAGGTTCACAACTGCAGTATGGCTGAGAACTTAGAACAACTCTGTCTCCTAATTTATTTATTTTTTTTACTAATTTTGAGAATATTTTCAAAAGGAAACTTTATTAATCAAAGTCAAAATGGTTCAATTGACTGCAGACTCACAGGGAAAGCAGTATGTACAAGTAGTGTATTGGGAAGAAGTATTAGAGTAGTAGTGCATTTTAAGTGGATTTCTCAGTAGTGTGGTGGTAGTGTTTCTGTTTTCTGAGTGAAATTATTGATGAAGTAGTGCATGGCATCCACACAAGCTACATTGTCCCATACATTTCTGAAGGTCAAGTGTAGCAGCGCTTTCGGCTGCAGTCTGATATAAAAATGCTTAGGATCAGAAAGTGACTCCAATGGAAGCCAAGCACACTTCCATAGTATGACGTGATGTCACATACCAATCCTTGGGCCGATGCCTATGATGTCTCTGCTGCAGGGGAATACAGACACACAAGAACACACATTTAGGTGATCCCTGAATAACACAGCCTTCACCAACCCAACTATCCATCACAATTCAGTGCAGTCTGTAGGCACCAGCTAGCAGCTTGCCAACAAGTCTGTTGGCAGACAATGAATGGTAAATGGCAAATGGACCTGTACTTGTATAGCGCCACTCAAAGCACTTTTACACTACGTGCCACATTCACCCTTTCACACACATTCACTCAGTGATGGCAAAGCCCATTGAACAGAAACTAACCAGTCTAACTAACTCAAATATAAAAAACAACCAGACAAATAGAATTGCTAAAACTAGAAAAGAGACTAGTGGATCAAAATGGGCAACTTCAGGTCATCTAATAGTACTTGGAACTTGTAGTTAAACAGTTCAGGTGGGTGCATCATTGTTTGACCTGATCTGTCTCACTGACAGTTCTATTGATCACTGAGATTTTAGTGATGACAAAAAAAAATGCTTTATGTAGTTAAACTACTTTCCATGTTGCTGTAGCTTAACTTGCTACATTCCTCTGGAGGGTAACTTCAGTGTAGTGAAGCTTCATTTATTGTAGAGTAACTGCTTCCAAAGTAGTTTTCCCAACACTGCACAAGTATATACTGTCTGTGGTGGATTTTATCTTAATTGTATACCATTTCTACACCATCACGTTGAGAGGTAGGGTTAGTTCATACAAGAAACTGCAGTGGAGGCAGAATGGGGCTGGGGGTGTAACTCCGACATGTTAGTAGCAGATTTAGCCATAACCAGAATTCAGTTGTTTGTAGAACTCTATTGTTGCCACACAAACCACAGAACCATGCCAGGGTTCTGCAGGACTAATGTGGTTATTTATCTGGTCCAACTAAGAAGCTGTTGGACATACTGAACAACATTTTGGACTTCATTATTACGTCAGAAGTCTGACTACAAAAAGGCATCATTAGTTATAGATTTTTGAAAGCGATCCAGACAGGTCTAAAATTGACAACCAACTCAACTCATAGTAAGAATGAGCCATCCAGCCTGGGAGAAACTGATTTCATAAGAATGAGGATTATGTTTTCCTCTGCCCCCTCATTCTCCTTGTCATTTCCCCCTCAGCTAATGTTGGCTGTTTGAGTCAGAGCTACTGAGACGTTACTCTCTTGAAAAAGCAGATTTTTGAATAGACTAGTTTTGTTTAAAAGGAAGGAAATCCTCATAATGGGCAATGACTCAGCTAATGGCACTTTAGCCGACATTCTACATCCACTTTGTGGTTTTAATAACAATTTGCCTAATATCCCTTTGAATGATAATTACAAAAACTGTGTGAAGCCGTTGCAGTTGGGGATAAGGATGATGGTTAGTTAAGTTAAGTTTCCTTGGCTCGGGGTCCCCACGGTGGCCCCCACAAGGTTCTTACACAAGTTTACTTTTGTAACAACAATTGAGTTTTTCTTTTAACTCTGCTTTTCCATGTTTTCAAGTTTCACTTTGGGTCAAGCAATAACATTCAGATAAAATAATGAACTTTCTTCCCTGTGAGATGTTTTTTGTGGCGCAGCCGCTGGCCTTGACAATTTAACAGCTCTCCGAGTAATTTATTTTTCAACACCCAGCATGTTTTTTTTATTTATTTTTTTATTATTTGACTCACCTTGAAATGAATATCCTTCCCTTCATTAGTGAGAATGAAACCTGTATGGTTGTATTGAATATAGCCTTAGGTCACAACACTCAAATGAACCAAACCCTATTAATTTGAGGTCTGTGAGGTGGTGGGGGCTGAGCTTGATGTGTGTGTGTGTGTGTGTGTGTGTGTGTGTGTGTGTGTGTGTGTCTAGATGTGTCTGTGTGTGTCTTGAAAAGAAATAAGAGGGGTTTCAGATATGCACTGCAGGTGACTGTTATTCATTCTTTCAGCATTAATTGTACTGGTGGTATACATGCCTCCTCTCTTACACACAGAAACACATATGCACACACAGGCTAGATTTGAATTTGTTGACAGTAAACATTGACAGTATATATAAGGCTTTAAATGAAAACGGATGTTGCCCTCTCCATGTGGACTACTTATGAAACAAGTGTGAACCTATTGTAACATCACCAATTAGTTTAAGGATTACCGGTTTGAAGCCTCTAGTTTGCCGTCATGTCTGCTTTTATTTTGAATAAAGTTTGTTTGTGTGTCTTGATTGCGGCAAAAAGTCAGACTCATCCTGCAGCAGAGGCGAGCCCTATCCGCTGACAAGGGGTTTCCCGACGGTACGCAGCAGCCAGCACCAGCGGGGGCACTGTGGCTTGTTTGCACTGTCGCTGATTCGAGCCCCCTTAATACCCTTTCATAGGGCCCCCGCCGGTCGATTAGGATGCGCACAGGAACAACACCGGGAGTTTTAAAAGCTTGCATCCTGTCTGCTGTATTGCTGCTTAACTCGCTGTTTTTTGTTACAATAAACGTGTAAAAGAAGTTCAGAGAGCAAAGGAAGAATCTTATGGCTTCTTCTCAGTCAACAACTCAACCCTCCATGTCTGACAGAGTCCTGCTGTTAGCTCCCCCTGCCAAACAGGTGGCAATGTTAGCAAGGAGCCGCCCAGCAGGTAGCTGAAAGCAACCGCGCAGATAACGGTGGAGGTGGAATGAGGTCGACCGGTTTAAGTGTTGGACTGTTTGGACATTTTATAAAGGCTACAGTGGATTCAAGCTGACAGCTGCTACAACAGCACTGATCAGTTGTTTCATATTCATTATTTGTGATGACAGGCTGTCGTAGTTTCTGTCTATTTGTCCAAAAGTAGCGTTGTTCGTCGCTGCTTGTGTTTTAGACCGCAATGTCTGCTGGCTATTGTAGTAATGGCAGGACACACATTTCTTGCAGACCTGTAGCTGAATTTGTTGTCATGTTAGTGTTGATTATGTGGCTGTATTGTGTAGGCTTTATGGCTGTGTCCATCCAGCATCACTGAATGTCTAATGCTGAATTCCCTTTGGTTCAGTCGATGTTACTTTTTTATCCTTTATCTGATCATGGTTGTGAAACAGCCCATCAGAGGTTGTGATGCTTCAGTATCAGCAGGGCTGTGTTTAATGATAAATCCATGGCACTGTGCATGGTGGTGAAATGGCACAGCCCATAGGTTGTCTATCTGCCTCTTCCATAAGCAATGTAAGGGTCCACTACAGTCAGAGACATCAGCTCATTAGGAAACCCTTTACTGAACTAATAAATCAAGTAAGAAGTGGGTTCATTTCTCCATTCAGCACTGTCCACCAATTATATACTGTCAGATTATTTAAATGATGGACATGGATATAATAGATATGAGGCAGTTTTATTACTGTATTAGTCATATTTACATGATTTTTTTGATCATGATGTAAAAGATTAAAGCTAAATCTGTGTAAAATGTCATTAGTAGTAATAACAGTGTCTTGTTTTAGTATGGAGTCTTAGCTTTCACCACTAATCTGTTTGGTATGGTTCAGGTTAACTGTGTAGATCCAGCCTATGGAAGACGTGCGGGCCACATATGACAATATACGTAAACTATAGTGTATGGAAGTCGTCTTATTTGCTCCTCTTCTCTGTTGAGAGTTGCAAATGCGCAGTGTCAGTTGGGCAGGATGTTTACGGACGTAACAACATAGCCCATCTTTTTACGATTAGTAGCTTTGAAACATCTGGTTATTGAGTGTCACCAGTATGGAAGTGCTCTACTGAAAAATATGTCTCTGTCAACACTGAAACATATGCTAAACAATGAACCATCAGTTTAACCCTGGAATCAAAGTACTTGTTTATTTTTCCACTATCTCTAAAAGCCTGCTATTTTTACTGCATTCATTTGCATTTGGGTTTGCAAAATGTTGGTTTTAAAATCTGTCCCAATTGAAATTGTATTGTAATATTCCTGGACTGAGACTGCTTTCAAAATGAAATGTTTTCTGTTCCTCTCTCTTGATCCACTGTGTCTAACCAGGTCTCACTCAGGGAGAAGTATCGGGAGAGGTGAGGTGACTTGTTGCAGGAAGAAACATGAGTGCAGTCATGCCATACAGGAAGAGTTTGTTGTGTCAGAGTACAGAAAGTGTAGCTTAGGGTTGTGTAAAAGATTTTACTGTCATGGTTGAATATTTATCTGATTTGTACGAGGCTGTCGTATTTATTTGAGCCAGAGGAAAC